CAATCTTCCAGAGATTTCTCATCTGAAGGAATAAAAAAAAAAAAAACAACCAAAAAAAAATAAGAAAACCAAAGCAAAAAGAGCAAAATGAGTCAAAACCTTGAGACAGATCAATATATCTCTACTATTTTCATGTTCACTTTGATAAATAGCCTCACTGCTTTGGCCTAGAGGAATCCAAGCTGAAAAGTTTCACCCATCCACTTTCTTGCTACAGAACAAATAAAAAACAGAAAGARCATTATTCTGATTTACTCACTAATTTTTGGAAACTCACTATAGTCACATCTTGTATAAACTAAAGGTAAGCAGCACTTTCATCTTGTGCCTCTGACCTGCATTTCTAGAATTCTGGGTGTTATTAGCTTCAGTGGATGTATGGAAAATACACTCAGCTGCACAGTATGGGCAAGCAGGCAAGCAATTGTTGCCTTCTGAAGTGTGTGCTCTTCCCTCTGTGTGGCATAACAGCTGCACAGCCTCTCCTTCATGGCAAGGCTTTTTGCTCCCACTTCCCAGTAAACACAAAGCAACATCTTTCTATGCAGGGTTACGTTTCTAATAAAGTTATTCTGTACTGGCGTTTTAAACAGGGCTTTGCATAGTCTGTCTTTCTGCATACGTGAGAAGCAAAGCCATGAAATATTCTGTGACAAATGGATTAAGTAAATTATGTACTGAAATGTCTCAGTGAAGTGCTGTAAGTAGTTTGCTACTTATAGAGGTCTTTTCCCTCACGCTAAGATGGTGCTCACACATACAGGACTCTCAGTTGTGTGTATTGTAGAGGCAGATGGGTTCCTCCTTGCAAGCCCCCAGCCTCAGATCAGCTTCCTCTACCTCCTGTTAACTCATTAATACTCATGCCCCACAGTTCCCCTATCAGATGAGTTCTGTTGACAATGTTTGCTTATGGACATACATTGATAACTCTTAAGAGAGGTGGTATATATTGTTTATGTTGCAATTTTAGCCTGACAATATGTGCTGTCAACTTATGTCTTGAAATATAAAGAAAAATGGAAGAGGAGGTATAATCACCTGTGAGTGATTAAAGACAGTGTGTGACCCACAACCTTTACAGGTAATAAACTGAGTCTCAGTTGAAAAATTAAATGTCTAAGTTCATTTTCTGGGACAGAACCACTGTAATGCTATGCATCTCAGATGAAAACTGTTTATTGTATTACTGGTCTTGAAATGTTATACTCTAATGTAAAAGCAAATACCAGACAGCCTGCATATTTTTGACAGACTTGTGTAGTTAAAGTAATACTCATGGATACATGAATACATATCCATATGTGTTTCATTTCAGCCTTAAGAAACACAGTATAAATCCAAGTTACTCACGTGAGCCAGTTRAAAATTTAGTTATGGTATTCATAAAATGAAATTGTTTCAGTTTCTGATAATTAAGAATGGCATAATTATTAGCAWAATAATCAGTTCAAATGGAAGTTGATGATAACAAGTTTTCTCATAATAACTGAAAAGGAGTAAGTTGGTTAATGTTAGAAATGTAGTAAGTGGATATAATGTTATAAGCTGTGACATATAATTTAAAATTCAGGGTCACTGCATATATGCAGGAAAGTAATTWKAAAATAAAGTTCCTTGAATCTGARTATTTTTTCCTGACAATTACACAGRTAGGAATTGATTGATCAACYATCARGTCTTATCTCAAATCTGTGTGTAAGCCAATTTCAATTAGCTTTCTTACACATGTAAAGGTGTTAGATATGATGATGGTTTCTCAAGGTAGCATGACTTTCTTAAGCTCTGCATTCTCACCTGGCAGAATTCTCCCTGCCAGGGGTTACAGGCATGTATCAGGAGTTATTCTTGGCATTGCTGGTGTATAATTTCGAAAGTCAAATTGTATCTTTTGTGTTTTTATATGGAGAGTAGGAATGAGTGCACTGTGAAGTGTGACAGTCCATTTTCTACCTCTAACCTTCACACAGAATGGTTGAGGTTGGAAGAGACCTCTCAAATCSATCTCATCAAACACCTCTGCTCAGGAAAGGGCCACCTAGAGCTGGCTGCCCAGAACTGGCTTTTGAGCTTTTGTAAGAATGGAGACTTCACAACCTCTAGGGCAATCTGTGTCAGTGCTTGGTGATTCTAGGCAAAAAATGTGTTTCCTGATATTCCCAGGGAAGCTTCTGTGTTTCAGTTTGTTCCCATCAGCGGACATCATTGAAGGCAGCCCGGCTCTCTCCACTTTGCACCGTTCTTCCAGGAATTTATAGACACTAATAAGATTCCCTTGAGCCTTCTCTTCACCAGGCTGAAGAGGCCAGATCTCTCAGTTTTCAACCTTTTCTATATGTGCTTGTAAGGAAATTTTCCCTGACAGTCTAGTATTGATTTGTTGCAAATACTCCTAAAATGCAGCACCTTCAGCATTAAAAATGCTCAACTTCTACAAGCTTTGCTCAGTTAATTGGTTTAGTAGTAAAAGACAAAAACATCTCTTGCTCAGAAAAGAGCAAGGATAGCTTTGGAAAGAAAAGTCTCRGTAACTTAAACCACGGTTCTTTTTCAACCCCTTTGATGCCATCTGTTTCTTTGTATCTCTTTTGCCGACCAAGCTCCTTAGTTTGTGTTAACAGCAGTGCTTCAACACAGCAAAAACTCTTACCCTACAGTTTATACAAGTTGCTTGATTATCAAGAAAGTAATTTCTTTATTGTCTCACTGATACACGAAGTTGCAATTTCAAGATCAGATTAAGAATCAGATATTCTCTGGGGCAATAGCTGGCTGATATTTTGTTTAAATAATATTCTGGAAATAAGGGCTCCTGWCTAAGCACATACTTGATGCAAATGAATAGGATCATATTTTATGTTTATATAACACAATGCTTTCTAAATACCAGCTGTCAGYTTTGCTGGGAACTAGACTTCCTGCTGGTTTTTCTCAGTGCAAAATGTGTATCCCATTTTACTGCAATGTTGCTGTCTGCAGGTAGCTGGTTCATTCTGGTAATGCAATCGGCTATGCGCATTTTAAAATAAACCTTACAGTCAGTTATCTTGGTTCAGAATTTTGAATTACCTTGAAATAGSTAATCCATCTATTGTAAGTGGGGAAAGAAATGGATACTGGTTTGCAGTCTATTCCCTGTCTATTGTTCTTTCCATAGTACTTTATTTTCAACATATGCACGAGCTTTGTGCTCCACCTACTGGCTGATTAACACTGATTATTTAATAAAAGCTTTTTAAATTATTAATCTATGCTATAGAGAATGAAAAGCAGTCTAGGGCCAGAAATATGAGAACAACATCAGCACCTGGTAAACAGAGAGGGCAAAGTGTTAAGAATTTTTTATGGCTTTCTACATCAGAATGAAACTGTGAGAAGTAGGTGAACACTGTAGCTATGTAGACTTCAAATGCAGTATTGCCATTTCTGATAATTGGCCATGGGATTGTGCTGRATTTGTGAGGCCTCAGGGCACATGTTTGCCAAGCTCACTCTCTTTGAACTTTTCTTGAGCTAGCAGCAGCTTTGTTTTGATTGGTTTTGCTGTAACAGCAACTTTTCTAATGACCAGGTGTCTGTGGCTAATTTGTTTTGTCTTTGTTTATCTTTTTATTGTATGACCATAGTTTTATATAATTAGCAGTAACAAGCAGTTATTCTATGTAGAGAATGAGATATTTATKACTCTAAAATAATGAAGTAGTGTAGAGAAATACAGGCCTGGTTCAGTAGCAGAGGCCTTGAAAACTGGAGATGCAGGATGTGGCATGAAGAGTACAGACAGGGGATGGTAGGAGATGGCACACAGGCTTGGCACTGCACATTCCGTGGCTATAAACAACTCACCAATCATTGGTTAAAGAAATGCAGAACTAGATCTGACAAACCTGACTTCTGAGGTAAAAAAGAATAGAATGTAAGATACATAAAAGGGACCATGTATGGAATATTTGGAGGTAGTGTGTAGCTACAGTTTGATGACRATAGAACAGAAGTGTACAAGTGTTTTAGCAAATAAAACAAATTCACTCAAGTGCATCYTAAGGTGAGGGAGAAGAAAGCATTAATGTGAGCATCCCGTTGGTCCTGCTGAAGGTACTCCAAATGCTGCTAGTTCACCCTAAACCAGAATTAAATTCCAAGCCTTGGGATGCAAAAGAGCAATTCAAGAATGACCATCAGAAAAAGGGATAGAAACTCAATGTATGAATAACACTTAAAACCATTTTTTATCATGGTAATAAAAAAAATACATTATTGAGCCTCTTTTTATGTAGAAATATGCWAACACTACTATTATTTTTCAGTCACAATTATAGCTACATTAATAATAATTAGATTCTTAAGATTTGAATTATGCTAACAAAAAAGAAGCTTTACTATATAGAAGGTATGCTTGGGTTTTGCCGATGAACAATTCTTGGAGTGTAACAAGTGGTATATAGTGTGGGCAGCCCTCCTGTGAACCTCTGGAGCATATTGCAGGAGARCCCTCTGTGAGCCCTKGCAGTATTGCACGGGTTGGTCSTTCTGAAACTCTAACAGCTGTKTTTTTGTATTCAGCATATGATAATCAAAGAAAATGAATGAATAGATTTAATAAGTATTCCTGGTCTTGGTAAGTAGCTCAGATAAATTCCCCATTGATTTTTGGGCAAAATCCACAAATCTTTTTAAGGACATAGGATTGCTTCCTGTTTGCCCATGAAGGGAATATTGAGTGTGACACCCCATTCTAGCCTTGCTGTAGTAATTGACTATACAAATAACTCCCTACCTCAATTTTAAAATTACTGTGCACTGTCTTGCAGCATGATGTGGTCATGGATGGATAATATCAACTCAGTATCAAAAGGTTCCTTTTATATATAGTCAAGGACACCTTCTATATAGTCAAACTTTTTTTTTGTTAGCATAATTCAARTATTAAGAGTCATAGCATTCTATAAGCACTGTATGTATTCCTTTTTTAATTACTGTTTTCATCCAAAGCAGTAGTAAGCATTTAGTCTGCCTGGGAATGTAGCATCCATCACTTCACTGTGAAGACAATTTCATAAAATTAACCAGGAAATAGTTCTACCATCTACTCATAYTGTTTTTAACATAAAAATGCCTTCCACATAATGTCTGTATATGTGAGACGTCTAAGCATTTTAAGTTTCATATTCCAAATACTCCATAAACATTTTGGCAGCCATTTCAAAAACTGCTGCACCACTGGATTGTTTATAGTAGACAGAAAAATTCGGTTAAAAAAACACCAGTCMGGAAATTGTTCTGCTAACTATCCATCTTAAAGCCATATTCCTTTGCCAGTGTTACATCTGTGATATGAACCTAAGCTGGTGGCTTAAGGAGAGTTCATGAACAAACATTTGCTTTAACTGTTTTTTCAGTAAAAATGTAAATGTGCATTTTAAAAAGTATTTATTTTACATAATGCACCTACGATTTGCATTCTGCGAGGTTAAGAAGTTAATAAGACTTCACTGAATAACTTCAATGCATTTCCTTACATTAAAATAAGATCCTTTTTTACTCCTTGTCTTAATCCAAATCAAATAGTGATCATGAGGAGCTGTGGTGAAAAAGACCTCTTGCATCAGCATTTGGACTTGCTCATTTCCCAGCTATATGGAACAACAGTGCTTTTTTTATGCCTATTATTAGGAATGTAGAAGAGTGCAGCTAAATCATTAAATTTTTTTTTTAATATATAAGTAAAAACTATGTCAGAATTTACTTTTTCCCTTTTTGGAGTTATACACTGGAATTAGTCCAGGTGTAAAGTTGCAGAATTTTGCACATGTCTGAATTTAATAATTGCAGTTCAACTAAAGGCCTTCTTGATCAACTTCTAGAAATATTAAAGGGCATGAAGAAGAATGTATTTAAACTACTTGCTAGGATAAGCAAGTCTGTTTCGTCTCTTGTGATTTTCCTATTTCTTTAGTCAGGATAAAATTGCAGATTTCTGTATTAGATTTTAAGGTGAGTGAAATTCAGGAATACTGAAAGCAGGCAGTGAACTCTAGTTCTACTTTTTAGTTCTAACATGTTTTGACAAATGTATATATGAATTTTCAAAATAGTGAAAGATCTTTATGTCTCTCTCTCTCTCTCTCTCTCTCTCTCTCTCTGCTACACTTTGGCTTCCAAGTGGATTGAAGTGGATATTCCTGTATAAGTGTGTGCCTGGGAATTAGTTGGCAGTTTTCCTATTTTTTTTACTGTTGTGCAATTACAGCCCTACAGCTTTCTAAAATAAAAAGTACCTATTCAAAATTATTTTTGTATTTGTTTTTACAGGAGATCAGTCATCATTTTGGAGGGATACTAGAGAGGGTCAAGTTGAATATTTCAGTTTGAACTTTTACCCTGAAAAGCAAAGGAAGAATAATTAAAATAGCTTGAGTTAAGGAGTAGCTCTGTAAAGTAGCAGTTTTGCTCCATTAAGCAAGAAGACCTATGAAGTGGGTCCTAGTGATTACAGTTATAGGAAGGTATCTCATTTTGATGAGAGAAACAAAGAACATATGGCTAAACATTTCTTTCCACTAATGCTGGCTGGAGRGGGACATCTACTTAGTGTACTAGTGACCTGTTAAATCACATTTCTAATACACAGATGGGAAGCTCCCAGCTGTAGTAGGCTTTGGAATAGTAACTTGAAGAGCATACTTTTGAAGTTACTGCATTTAGACTAGAATGTTTTCAGGGATGGGGCATCCACAGCCTCTCTGGGTGACCTGTTCCAGTGTTTCACCATGCTCACGATAAAAACCTTTTCCTCATATGTTGTCTGAATCTACCCTCTTTTAGTTTAAAACCATTAAATATGACTTCCCTTCATAGGCACAGTGCCAATAAAAATACTGGGTGTATTTCACTCAAGGAGCTAGTTTCTCAGATGGTTTTGTCAGCAGGACAAAAGATTCAGCATAGCTTCATGGAGCACCTGCCTACTAAAGAAAACCTTTGTGATGTTTTTGATTTCAGCCTGCTCTGCTTTCCAACCTATGGGAATAACATTTAACAAATTTATTATTAACAACTGATTCTGTCAATTATAGTTTCATGTTACTATTTTATCCCATTTTGTGTTGCTAAGCTGATTGTCTTTCAAGAAGCTTCTTAAAAATTTGGCACTAAATTTTGCACATTTGTAGGTAAAAGCTGTAGTTCCTTTGTGTTATTTCTAAATAACAACTTGTAAACTCTTATTACCTCCCCAACAGCTTGTGCAATGCACACACAGAGCATTTGCAGTTAACCTACCCATTGATCTGCTCACTGTGACACATTTATGTGGTACTGGAACAGTTGCTGTAAATGTCACATTGGTGACAAGAACTGGTCAAGTCTGCATGTTAATTCACATATAAAAAAGAATCAAATCTCTAGCTGAGGTTAAAAAATAAAAAGATATTGCGACTCTTCTTCATCACCTGCTATCCCATTTATGTTYAGGCAAACTAAATTGCAGCTGTGCTGAAGTTAATACCATTTAATTTAYGGACAAGCAACCTTTTGTACTAAAATTGCACGTTGGTAAGCAAGTAAGTTACTAATATTTTGGTAAATGTAATTCATAAACATAGGAATTATCTATGGTGTTTTTTTTTTAATGCAGAGCCTTTAAAGAAAGACAGAAGGAAGAAGAAGAAAAAGAACAAAGATTTAGAGAACAAGTTCTGCAGCAGAGGAAATCTAAATTTCAGGAGGCAACTGCTAAGTTCCAACGTGCTCATCAGTCCTTTTCTCAGCACAAACAAACAGGTTTGTAAATTAATATTTAGCCATTATTCACAATAACAGTGTTTTTATACTCACAGAATCACAGAATAGTTAGGCTTGGAAGAGACCTCTGGAGGCCATTAGTCCAACCCCCCATATTTTTCTATTAGTAGAATATAATTGAACAGAATCATTAATGTCATTCAAATTAATTGACTTCACAAAAGCAAAACAGCTGACAAAAAGCTCAGATCTGATATGTGATACTTGGATAGTAGAAATTAAAAGAAAAACAGACCTTTATTTCTAAACATTGTATTGTGAGATATTTCACTATATTCTTGTCACAGTAAGTACATGACCTCCTTGGAGTATTGTGGCTTCCTGGGTTTTCCCCAMTTTCTTGACTGCAGTGTGCTTCTTGGTTGCTGTACTGTGCCTTCACAGCTGGGTGAGAGATGTTGCAAGGCCACTGATAGTTACTAGAATAGCTTAATGATCCCCTCCTTGGGAATATTCCCTCCAAAATATTCAAGAATATGCATTTTGTTTATTGTTAAGTAAAAGCAGTCCTAGTATATATAAATAAAGTACCAAAGGGTTTTTTTTTTCTGAATTAGCCCACTTTCTAAGCTGTTCTCTCACTGCTGGGAAGAAATGATCACTTCAGCTCAGTTCCTGCTTTCTTGGAATCAGTGCAGATTGGCAGGAGTTTGTAACAGCTTTGGCCAAGTCTGATTTCCCGTCAACTTTCCAGTGTTCAAATGCTTAAGATATGGTCTATTACTTAGGTATTCTTTAACAGATTTACTCTCCCAACTGCAATTGTGCCAACTGTGAGGTAATGTCTCTGAATTCAAGATCAAATGTCAGATTAAAATAACAACATAAAACTGTACTGGTTTAGGGCTTCTTCATAGTCCTACTGACAGCCCACACTGTGTATCAATAGAATGAATCACAATTTTTTCTCTTGGTTTTTCTTTATAGCAATTTTGTCTCTGCTACTCTCTATCCTACTTCTACTCACTTGAAAGTGGCAGTACGTTGTGCATTTCTGAACTCCTTCTTTCCCCACTGGTTCAATTATCAAGTTACAATTTGGCCTCTGTAAAATATCTGCAAGCCATAACTTTGGCTTAATGCACAAATGGAATAATCATGATGTAAAAACAAATGTTAAGGGTTTTTTATGTCCTATTTTTTCAACTGTGTGGTTTAAAAGCAAATAGCAAAACCATTAAATATGTGTGTGACTGTAAACACTTAAAGAGACTGGGATTTTGTTTCAGAGCAACTCTAGGTACTCTAGCATGTCTAATTTTGCTAAACTACTCTGTTTATTGTAACTGTCTGGATTTAGGCTTCCAAACTTCAGAAACTTAACCCATTTATCGCAAAATATTTCAATTTTAATTTTTTTTTCTTTTGTGTGTGTTTAGCTCTGATCTCTCCAGTCCAGACAAAACCAGCTTTTCAATTAGAAGAAGCTCTTGAACAAATTAAAGGATCAGTTTTAATGCCAGGACTGTGTTTGCCAAGCATAAACAAAATCAACTTCAGGTAAGCATTCAAAGATCAAAGGAAGTAAATCGCTAACTGTATTCAATAAACAGCAGACAATTGCCTTAAGGAAATTGTAGGGCATTTCTCATGTGGCAAAGAAAGCATTTCTGTGAATTTCTCCAGTGAAACATTATGCAACTTCCTCGAGTTGTTTGTGTCCARTTATCATTTGGTAAGGGAGCAGAGGAGATGACACAAACCTTTTCCTCTCCGTGGAATTCTGGGAATAGTCAGGACTAACCCAGTTTCCAGGCAGTTATAGCCCAACTCAGATTGCCATGGTTATCAAGCCATTTGCTGTTCTCAGAATTGCAAAGTGTTCTGTCTAGGTGATTTCTTATCCAGATTTTTTCCTTTTGACATTCAAGGATGCTTTAGCTTATATGTTCACCCAAGGATCTTCTTTGGAGCTGTCATTCCTTTATATTTCTCATTCTCTATATGTATTGAGAGAACCCTGATAACAATTTGACCTGTAATTTCATTTTATTTTGCATAAAATTTTATTTGCATATTTTTCACTTTACCTAATCGCTGCTTCTAAGATACCTTGACTTAAAACAGAATGTTTCTTCATACATAGTTTATTTGTCTGCTCTATTTCCTACTACTTCCTGAGTAYCCCTTTCCTAATCTTTCATTTCTTTAACATTTCAGTTCAGGGGGTTATTTTTGTTGTTGCTGCTTTTGTTATTCGTTTCTGCATTTCAATAATTTTCTCCATTATTTAAATTGTGATGATGTTCAGAATAGAGATAAATTCTGTTGGAAGCGGGTCTCCCTACTTTTGTGCTTAAGTGTGTTCTTCACTGAGACATTAATATTCAACTTGTTTACATATCTCTGCTGATTCATACATTTTTGGGTGATAAAGTRGACAGTTGAGAAAATATTCCATAACTCTTAAAGCTTAACACTCATGCTATTTGCTAATCAAATTTCATAGGAAGACTGCAGCAACAAAAATGAAGAAAAAAACAAGAAATCTACCTGTTAAATCTAAGTAATTTATGTCAAAAAATGTAGATGTTTCTGAACCTTGTCTCAGGTTTTCTGATCATTTGTCTCATTTCACTCATAGACTTGATTTGTCTCATTTCACTCATAGACTTGATTAAGAATCTCGGTGCTTCTTCCCCCTGCCTTTATAATTTCTTTCTTTATTTTTCATCTTTCTTGAAACTGCTCCTTATGCATGACATTTGTATTTCAGGACTTGTTCAAACCACTTACCATTTCTTACAGTGCTGTCACTCCATTTTTATTTGTATAATACTAAAAATTTGCTATCCTTTAATAATGATAGTGTGTTTTTTTCCCCAGTTTTCATTTTTATAACCTAATTTCCTMAGGAAATTAAATTTATATGTTCATATTCTTTTACAGTTTATGTTCTACTGGTAACCAAATTTGAGAGAGAGTTAAGAATCTCTAAGTTAATTTTATTTCTTTAAGTTTGAAATTAGAAATTGCTCAAGGGAAAATAATTAAAATAAGTAACCCCAACATGAGAAAGGCTTGAAAGTTGAGTCCGCTACTATTGGCAGGTCGCAAGACAGTTAGTACAGAYAAAACAGAAGGGCATTTTGAGAAGTTTCTCAGCAGTGAAGCTTCTTCAAAGCTCATCAGATCTGAGCTATAAAGCTTTAAACATTTCTTACAATCCCTTCAATTGTAAATTTTGTGACAACTAGTAACTAACTCATATGAAGTAGTGGATACCTTTCTGTGTTTCTGTTGCTTCTTACAATTCTATAAACACTTAAGCTAAAAATCTTTTGGTGCCTTTAGCATTTACCATCCCTCAGAAACAGAATGTATAGAGCTCATTGACAGTCCCCTTTTAAAGGTAGAAATGAATACTGTATTAAGTATGCAAGATAAATATAGCTGCACACCCAGCTGAATATCTGTGAATTTTAAAAGGTTCTAGAATTCATAATATCTATGTTTTAAAAGGCRTAAAAAAATAAATTAAGCAATAGAGACCTATTAACTCCTCTTGGAGAAAGGCAAATAAGAGTATTCTGTGCTTGCARTGGAGCCTCTCTGCTTTTAGTAGGGTTTAGTTATTGAATGCTAAAGCAAAGATTTTGGAGCACTCATTAGCTGACAGACACTGAGATGTTTGTACATTAGGTGTGTAAATGTCATTCTGYTCTTTTTGCAACATATACTTCCCTGGTGGTGTTTAAAAATAGTTGTGTTTGATTAAGTTTGATYTTGGAATATAAACTTAAATATGAAAATCAAAAATTATCTATGGAAAAGTTGGAATGTAGAAACTTTTATAAATATAAATGGTCTAAATGTGTTGCAATTTTTATAAATGGTCTAAGCACTCAAGTAGATAAAATGAATTGTGTATGTTTTGAAAAAAATAACAAACTAGATTTCTGGAGGGCCAGGTGTCAATCAGTCTGGTCCATAATAGCAAAAAGATTTTGGCACTGAAAAGATATTGGCCATTCAAAAGAAACGGCATGCAGTTTTCTGAGTTCAATAAATAGATAATGTGAAGTTGTTCTTTCTTTTTGCTGTCAGCCATTTAATCAGAAATAATAAATTCATTTTTCGGCTCTCCTTAGGTCACTGCAATTAAGCCAACCTTTTTTGGAGTCTTGTATAAAGTCTCCTGAAAAATAACAACAATCTTGATGGTTTTAAAGTTTCCATTTTCCATTGCCCTAAAATTATTGTGATAAATAAAAAAAAATATTGTGTTGTGATAAATATAAAAAAAATAATTTAAAAAAAAGGGTCAAATTAGATTATTTATCCCCTTGAAACAAATCCAGTCAAAAGAAAAGGAATAATTTTATGGGCAGGAAGAGAAGGCTCAGAATAAAGAACTTAAGCTGAAGCAATGGATTGAAATGAAGGAAAGAGGTTATTGAGTCTCTGTAGATATATGGTAGCCACCTCCAGCTAGAGCAATATGTGTTCCCCAATAGTGCAGCTTTCCTGGACAGGCAGTAGAGGAGGGTGAGGTCTCTGTGTATATGGTGTGACTGCTCTGTTGTGCCTAACTCAGCAGGGTGCTAACTGTTAATGCAGGTAAGTTTTCTGTGACATGAAATAGTCATTTCTTCCTGTCGGTTCTGTGCTGCGTATTGCCCATACTTGAAAGAAACCACCTTCTTTATCATCACCTTTGCTGAAATGAAGAATGGGTAGCATGTGTGTGGTAGATCATCTTGTCAGGACAGATTCCAATTTAAAAAAAAAAAGTTTTTAAAAGAGGAAATATGTGAAAGTATGATTTTCATGTTTAGTTGCATATAAACTAGAAGTTCAATTTTGCCACAAATTTAGCTTAACATCTTCATGCCAATATTCATTGGCAATATTTAAGGGATCATGTTGGTTTCACTAAGGAATTGAATGTGGGAAATACATTTTGGGAATGCTGGAAAGCATTTGCATATTGAATGAGCAATAAGCTTGTTACTCAAAATCCAGTAGTTGCCAAGACAAATTATAATTTAAAATATGGGACCTGATCAGTCTGGTAAATCTATTTGGATATCTGCTTTTAGGCAAAGGCATACCCATTTTACAAATTACCTACACAGAAAGCCTGTGCTGTCAGTCTCTTTTCAGATCTATTGTGCTTCTACCACCATTGATAATCAATGGGGAATACAACAAATAAAATCTCAGAATCAGGAAACTGTGGAAGGTTGGTAAATACCTTGATCATTGCATCAAGTCTAATCATTAATCCAGCACTACATAACCTTGGCTTCCTGATCAGTTGTTAGGGTTATGTCTTTCCTGAACATATGTGAGAACCCATACGTAAAGCATGGGTTTGTTGAGAGGTAATTGTGTAATTGATTGTAATTGCCACTTTGGATATGCCAGACAAAGGGCCTTGAACCAGATTTGAGCCGAAAGATATGATAATGTCCTTCACTAAACTGTTCCATCGAGGTCCTCAAGCATAGCTGGCAGTCTGGTAATAGTTATATTTATAGAATAATGAAGCTTGATCCACCCATGAGCTGGTGGGGGTTGGCATGTGGGCTATGTTTGCTGGGTTTTTTAAGGCCTACCTTTCTTATTGCTTAAARCTACTTACTTCTTGGTTTTGTCATCCTTGATAGCAACCATACTTAGTTCTTGCTTCTTGTTTTCTATTCTTAATGATCTTACCCAACCTCATTCCTGTTCTATCTTCCTTTTGCTCCTGAACATGCTTTGTTATGCACTCCCTGCCTTCCTAGTCATTAATTGCACATTTTCSTTTTCATTTGCTTTCACATCCTTCTTTCATTCTTGGCTGTCAACAAGTCTCGTAGCTCTTGCTAATTCTCATCCTGTAAAAATCTGTGGCTTCCTTTGTCTTTATTTGGGTTCATCCTGGTCACAGGACCCAGTTACACTAGCTACAAAGATTTTTTTTTTTTTTGCAGGCTACAAATACCAATTCTTTAACATACCACAATACTGACATTGAATATCATCAGTAGATTTGGGCTCTCTGGAGGAGGACTAAAAGTCCTTCTTGCTTGTTGAAGTAAGGGAACACCTTACATCATCAATATAGTTACTCTCTACATAAGCCAACTTTATGGAAAAATAAAACCAATTTTCTTGGGKTTTTTTTTTCCCTTTTTTTAAAAAAACAACCCTCCATGTTCCATTTCTGTAGATTACCAGACTGTTGGCTGACATTTTCCATATTAATGCAGCCTGAGGCAGTCACGTGACAACCCAATCAGAAAAGTCTATTTATAAATAACAGAAATTTTAAAATGGAAAGGGTTAGACACTTTTAGATAGTACTAACAGCATTTGTCGAGCTTTTCTTCATTTATTGATGGTGTATACTCTTGGTAAGAAACATATTTGAAAGTGAACAGTTGATGAATAGAAATAAGAGGAAGTAATAATTTGCTTGTTTGCACCAAGAAGCACAGATGACACTTCATCCTCATCAGCATCTAGAAGTGATTCTTTCCATCAGAAGCAGAATTCAGCAATATCTGGCTGTCATGAAACAATACAAGAGAGCAGTAGAACAGACACGGATAGTCACCGACTTCTCTTCCAGAAAAATCTGAAAGAAATGCAGCAGCTCCTTGAAAAACAGCATCTCAACAGCTTGGAGGTATGATATTCGCATGTGATTCATTACAAGATGCTTTKAAGTGTGACARTTTCTTGAATGTGATAAAAATGAAAGTTCTGTTCAGCAGTCTTTATCAATTAGACAACATGGCACAGCATACTATATCTTATCAATAGATTTTTTTTTTAGTAAAATGATACATATTTTCCAGTAAGAAGTCAGAGATCTTTAAAAATATTTATAAGAATGCTTTCACAAATTAATCCAAGATACCTGTTGTGTTGTCCTTTTGTTCCAGTGAATGTAAGATTTGTATGTCAGAATTGCTGTCTCTGAAATTGGTAGCCATTAGTTGACCACAGGGGTCGTGTGCCACCTCTGAAGTTAAATTGGTAGTTTTCAGTGCACACCCAAGTTTCTGCTGTGCTGATTGTGGCAGCTCAGCACCAAATGCTATAGCATTATAATGATGGTAGGTCAAATGTTGGGGGACTTTTTTGTTTGGCTGTTTTTTCCCCAAAGTGTGGTGATATGTTAGAGATTGACTTCAAGTCTCTTTAGATCCCTTTTTGTCATCTTTGGAATAGCTGCAGGTGTTCCTGCAATGAGCTTTTCCTGGCTAAACTAATTTTTAGACAGAAAATCAGTTTAAAAAGTCACCTTGGAAACAGTGAAAATCAAGAACTGAGCTCTAAAGTGATTTTTTAGTTGTGCACCTTCAAAGTGATTTTATGTCTCAGTGTTTTCTTTGATTTTGGAAATGKCTTCAACATTACATTTTCTGGAAAAAAAAATAGGGCATACTTTAGGGCTCATTCTTTTATTTCTATAATATCTACTGGTATCCGGAGTCATGATACCTGAAATTACCTGGACTCCATGAAGCACTGTCTCTTTATATGAATTGTGGCTGGAGGCATGGAATCATTGGTGGCCATAGAGCAAGGGCTTTTCCTTTCAATACAAGTGCCTGGATAACTTGTGAAAGACTAGAAAGTTCAGATATAACTTGATATTGATGTTTCAAGGAGCATTCATCTCTGCCTTTTTATCCACTTTGTTCTGATGGATATTCATGAAAACCTTGAGTAGCTGATGGCTAACACAGAAAATCGCACTCAAATGGAGCGAGGTTCAAAAAGGTTGAGTGGAGAGAAAGTATAATTTGTACTGGCRGTGATTAGTGTTATTTCTAAGCTCAAAAAAAGGATGAGAAAATGATGAATTCTAGAAAAGAGCTGATAAAACTGAATTCTAGATAACCACTTTACAAAAATATACAAAAAACTCAAAGCATTTTTTTTAAAAATAATATCACATTTTCATTTCATTGGTATAGTGTTTACAAATCCCTCCGTAAATGATGATCCTCAATTTGGAAGTAGCTGTGTTAGCACATCTTAGAATTAGAAAACAAAACACATTCTCTTTGAGAAATATATATAAAACTATTCTTCTTAATGTATTTTAAGATTTCTATATTAGAATGTATTTTATCAAACAGAATTATYGCTTCCTAATTGAATTCTAGGAAAAAACTGCCATGATTCATGCATAATTTTTTGCTTATACTTTTTTTAAATGTTATCAGCAATTTTGGACARTGTACATAATATAGGAATTTGTGTTTACAAATTAATGCATTTTTCAAAATACGTGTCAAAAATTTTGCTTTTTTTCAGAATGTTATTTTATGCTGCCACTAGAGGTTGCTCAGCTTCTTTCCTCTGATTAATAGTTTCAAAATGTAAATATTTTGAATATTTACAAATTCAAATATTCACAAATATTCAAATATTTACAAATTCAATTTACAAGTTACTTCAGACATTTGTACTTTCTTTCTTGCAATTGCATGCTTTGGATTCTGATTAGAAAAATAGTCAAGGAAGCTATTGTCCTTGTTCTATGGCATGAGTTTTGGAAGTTTAATACTTGGGTTGTGCTGGTGGCTGGTGTGCATATGAATTGTGACTTCCCATTTTACGAAATAATATTTATAATTCTCTTACTAATAAAATTTACAATGATTCAGAATGCTCTTACTGGGATCAATAGACTTCAACGGTCTTTGGACCTGTTGTCCAAAGTCATTTCTGAAATCAAAGTATTTCACTGTGCACATGCTTTGCAACTTAGCCATCCATTGAGTTCCTTTGACCTCTCTTTGTTTCTGTTTTTACAGGCCCAACAGGATTATAAAGATTCCTAAAATTCTTTACTTTCCTACAGGGTAATAAAGTTCTGTGTGAACCTTTACCAGTAGATTTGCTGTGTTCACTGCTTTCCATCTCTAAATATTTGTACAGATTCATCAATAAGCCAAGGGTTTTAGGGACCCTTCTACCATTTTCCAAAATTATTTTGCGTATTGAGAGCAGTAGATTTTAATTTGTGCAATAATTGCATCCAAGCCACTACATCAAGTTGTTGTTTTATATTCATGAGTGTGTTCCATTTTGAAGAATTKAATACTGCTAACTTCATTCGCAAAAGGAGTATTTGTCACACAAGCTTTTCCTGGTTTTATTGCATTCATAAATAAAATCTTTAAAGTGGAGCTGGTAGCATGGTYTTCAGCTAAAGGTGCATGCAGCCTTTCACCAAAAGACATTGATCCCAAGGTGCTTAACATTTTTTCGAACTGTTAACTGATGGTGTTGAAATTTTCCATTTCTGGTACCAGTCTTGACTGAATAATTTAGAAAATTTCCACTGAAATGGCTCAAATGTGACAAGGAATTGTTCAGGTATCTTGTCTTTTTGTCACCTCTTAAATTTCATGGCCATGCAACATTTCTAGGCTCCGCCAGAAAAATACACTGTGCCTCAAATAAACTGATAGCATAACATTTTATCTCTATTATTTCAGTTTTTAAACAAAATACTTGCAAGTAAGACCTAATTCACTGACAAAATAGGTATAGATTATATATTAATAGAGATTGCATTTTCCTCTTCTCTRCTTTAGATGACCATAATTCGGTTACCCAAATGGTATCTGTGAAATGCATATTTGAATCTCTTTSTGATTGATTTGAAGCAGGATTTTTACCTTGGCTCTCATTTTTTGTTACTGAGCATATTGTGCAGCCATCGAAGTACTCAGTACCAGTCTTTCTATGGATACCATTCCCCTTGGAAGAAAACACTTCAATACTTACTAAATAGGAATGGAACACAGGTACCATTTCTCAGAAACTGCAACCCAAACCTTAAGCTCAGCGGGTTACTCTAACATAAGAAAAATTTGTATCTTACTGTACTGTGTTTATACATGCTACATGTGAAAATCACAGAAGTCTCTCAGAAATAAGGAAGAGTATTTTCTAAATGATGTTCCACTGAATGGAAGCAGCAGATTTTTGCATGAGTTGACCTATAAGACTAACATGTTAGCTGTTTGTGTTAGTGTGCCTTTGAGTTTGGACAGGTCCATGAAATGGAGATGTTTCAGATAACTGATGGAAAAACTGCAGTATGAGTGGAATGAGTTAAACCAAGGTACCTTCTGCAAGGGGCGTTGTGTCAGCCTAATTCATCAGAGCCATAGGCAAGACCAGCATGGAAAAAAGGAGTGGCATGTACGGAGTCTCTCCCAAGCATCAGGAAGTTGTAGAATGCTCAGGGCTAGTTAGTGGGAAAACAGACTCAGACAGGGAGACTTAGGATAAAATGACATTGAAGCAGAAGTCAGACTTGATTTTGTAGATTCAACAACTTGAAATAGGTTTCTATAGTCACCTTAAATCTAGAAATATTGGCCATTTTTTTTTCTTGCAAATGGGAGTGTTAACATTTTTATGTTGATCATTTAAATTATATGACAGACCTGAATGATTTCTTTACTTATTTTCCTCTTGGCAAGCAGAGAGGTGTTCAGTTTTCATTGGCTTTCAACCAATATTGTGACAAATGGCTATCTTCTACGTTATTTTAGGAATCCAAAATTCACATGTGCTATAAAGATAAATTGAAATGTATCTACAGACTAAATTATTTTACTCAAATACTCCAACTTGTTTTGATTGTGTATTCCTCAAGAGTATGTTTTGAGGTTTTGGGGGAGGTTTTTCATCACATAATTTATTCTAAGCTTGTGGTGTATAAAATCACATAACAATCTTCATATTTGACAGTCTGGAATTCACTCAATACTGTCTTTCCTCAGTTCAAAGCCCTGCTTGAAGTGGCAATAATGTAGGATTGAGGTTAGRGGGTTTTTATATGAATTTCCATACATATTAGCATGACTCCATTTTTGGGTTTAATTCATAYACATGTATCCATATAAATATATATAAACTATTCTTATATAGCTATGCACTGAAGTATTTTTGCCATGCTTCATGACTGCATGACTAGTTTTTCAGTGATTTGTTCTACTGCAGTGGAGTAAGATGTCTGTAAATGTAGCTGAAAGAAAAGAACAGAGTAAAAAATAGCAGTATCAATTCTCTGCTGTACTGCAGTTACAGTAATAGTAAGATGTTTGCTTGCTGGAAGGTATAAAGTTGGTGCATACAGGTCTTCCAGGATGCTGCATTATGCTAACGTGGTATTATCACTGATAGTATATACTGGTGTCTCAAGGGGATGTTGGAAAATCTATTCATTACTCGTGAAGTAGTATCAATCTTCAAAGTAATTTTGCCCCTTTGAAGATGGCAGAGCTGTGTTTTAGGGTTTTTTTAAAAAGATAAGGCTTTTGTGAATTGTAAGCAAAACAGAATTTAGCTATTTTTTTTCTTCCTGAATTTTGCTTCTATCCTAGTAGACTAATAGTGGACTGGGTACCCAGAAGCCTCATACATTATTTCATTATTTTAATATTACTTATTATAAACCTGCAGCAGCACTTCTGTGGTATTTAGTAGCTTGAGCTTTGCTGGGCAGTTTGTGCCAAATACTTGCATATCTTCATAAGGAAGTATGGCTCACCATAAATAAAATGRAAAATAAAGCATCAAACCAAACAGTGAAAATTCAGAGGACAAGAGTAAGTAGAGAGTAATCGGGACCTCTCACAGAAGACTGAAAGTTCTTGTAACAAATCAAGAATTATGCTGTTTCAAACAGATTTAAAAAAAATAGCCTTTAAATTCTGTAGGCTGCTCAGGGGAAGGTAGATGCTGAAACCTTGTACAAGTTCTTATAAAATGAATCTGTAAAATTCTTAGGAAGAATGTATGTCTTGAAACACATCTGTCTGAGAAAAAGTTGAATTTGTAAAACAGGTAASATGTAAGTCACTAACTTTTTTTTTCAAGGTAAGTGATTATTTAATGAAGCATGCAGTGAATGTTGGCAATTACATGAAATTGCCTAATTAGACAAGGTATAAATATAAATATTAGAAAATGCTCTTAGATATATGGTTTAGCCTTTAGGTTGCCCTGTATGGAGTCAGGCTTTGGACTCAGGGTTCCTTGTGGGTCTCTTTCAACTCAGGATGTTCTATAATTCTAAAAGTRTTTCTGTATCCGACCTTTAGGATTTCCTTCTATAAATCCACCTTCTGCCCTGGCTGCTGTTGTGTAGTGCACAAGAGTGGAACCAGGTTAAAAACTCTTCCTTCTTTACAATGTATTTATATTGCTAAAAGAAAAAACAATGCTTTTTCACTGACTACAAAACTGTATATTATTATTTTTAGAAAATAAAGGGCTCTGGTAGGGTAGTTCCTCAGTTGAACCAGAAATTATTTAAAAAATTAGGTTCACTCACTGATTCATTCAGAAACTGTGTACTGATCAAATAGTATTAATTTACTCCTTTTAACTGATGTTATGTCTCCAGTTCATCCAAATCTGTTAACTGTAATCGTTAAAGTGATTATTACGGAAACACTGAAGAACTTCTAGAATTAATATTTCATATCCATGCCCAGTTTTTCTCCATGACTGTTTGCCTTTCAATAGTTTTCAATTAGGCTGTCCCACGCTATAGAGATGTGACAAATTTTTGGGGTAGATGGTGCCAGCTCAAAATTAATTTATTCATGGGTTAGAAACAAAAAATGGGACTAATCCAGTATTGTGCACAGTGCCTCAACATTTAATCATTTAACAGTTTTAATAGTATTTAAACCTAGCATTATGAGTTGCACTCCTGGAGCTGAATAACCAGATTGGTTTGTCAAAGTTGGACACCTGGGACAGGGTACCTGAGAAATAGCATTCTGAGTACTGAGATGCTAAAGCAAGACAGAGATAAATTCAGCTGAAAATCTGTTTCCTACACAGTTATGTACATTTACCTCAGGGCTTATTAAAACTGAAAATCATAATGAAACACTGGTATTCAGTCTGCAGATAACTTTTCCTTTAAAATCAACTGTTAGGATTCTTACTATTGTCTGTGTGCCTGTGAAATTAGAAATGAGTTCTTTCTATCCCAATAAGTTTGAACCTGCATTTGTAGCATCCTGTGATGATTTTCCAAACAGATGAATCAGGTCCTTTCAAAAACTCATAATTTCATGGGTAGGTGATTTCTGTATTCTCAGCTTGGGAGGAGATCAGGTACCTACAAGTTAGACTAGGAAAGACAGTAATGTTGATGGTAAGCTTTTCTCTGGTCATCCTATACCTTCATAGCTTCTTTGGYGGGTTTGGCTAAGAAAAAGTATCTCTTGTGTAAGGTAAGCACCAAAATAATTTCTCAGTGTAACTTGCTTTCTTGAAGCAAGTTTGAAACAAGTGAAGTTGTTTAGGTGCTTCACTGGTTTTGAAAGTTTTACATCTGTAAGTCCAATGGTGTCTTTTACTTCACAATCAAGGTGAGGTGTAACATTATACATACACACATGTAAAAACCAAGGAATTTCTGTAAAGAAACCAGTTGAAATTATCAAAAACAGCAAGTAGTGTAAGAGGTGAGTGGCCTCTGTTTTCAGAGTAGATAGCAATTTTTTCAGCCTTTTGTCTTCAGAAGAATTTTCCCATTCACCTCTTGGAATTAGGAAGAGTCAGCATTTCCTTTGCAGAAAACATCAAATAYACATGTGGTGGCTCTTTAATGTCATAGCCTTCTGACAAAGTCCTTTGGCAGAAAATTCATTTGTCAGGTTCACTTAAAAATCTACTTGTTGCAATGTTTTTCATTCACTGGCCTTATGGAAGATTTCTTAGGCTCATGTTTTCTCTTTGTTTTAGTGCTTTACTAAAATGAAAGTGCTTAACACAGCTGTTCTAAGTCCTAAGACACACAAGTGACCTCTTTAACTCCTCAGAAGTATTCCTTTCCCAGGATATGTGGATGTGTGTGGACAGAGGTGTGTTAGATTTTATGCATTATAACAAGATAATGCAGGCTACAGGCAATAAAATAAATTCTACTTACATAACAGGAAAAATGCAAACCCAGTAAATTACAATATAGTACTCTGTATACAAACATTTTGTTTCATTATCATCCTATAATATTCTCACAGATTAAATAAAAATTACRTCATTGGGATTTCCAGGTTTATTTCCATGACCTTACTGATTACTTAAAAGGGATAAATGTTGAATGCTTTTTTATTTCTGCAGAAGTAGTTCTAATTACACATTTTTACAAGGAAATGGAACTTTCAATTGCATTGCATAGTAGGCTAACGTGGGAAATACATAAAAATTTTAATGAGAATGTTAAGCATTTTAATGTGTGAAAGAATGAAATTGTATGATACAACAGAATTAATGTAAATTAACTAAATTTGCATTAACTAAGTAAAAGTAAGTGTGTGTTTAAATGAGAACTCCTTCTTTGTTCTTTAGTTTCTAACATTTCTGAATGTTTCCTGAACTGAGATTTTGTTTTCCATGGGGTTTTGTTTTTTAAGGAGAGTACTTGTTTATATAACATGGTATCAAGTCTATTTTCAACTTCTGGAGCACAGCTGGGTAGAATTTTTATTTTAATCTTAATCTTTAAATGTTGCATATTTCTTGCACCCTCCAGATTTATCAGTTTAAGCTAACCTGCTAGCAAGACAAAGTTTTTTAAAATCAATCTTTACAAAATTTTTCTTCTAACCTTTTAGAAACACATGTTTTGCTATAGAGGTGCGGTCCAAATCAGACAAGAAGTAAGTTTGACACCTGTAATTTCTTTTCACTGTTTTTKGGGGKTTTTTTTCCCTTTTGAAAATTTCAAAGTTAGTGCTTAAATATTGTCTGATACAGAAGACACTAAGTATATGCCTTGCCTTTTGGGGAAGTTCAAGCAGAGGTCAACAACATAATTTAGCCAAAAATAAAGGTTAATAAATAACTAATGAAATRTTATTTTTTTTTTCCATTAGAAAGACAACAGTTTGTATAGGTTTAGTTTGAAAATGTTCCCTAAAGGGATCTTTCCCTACACTTGCTTCTTTGATCTTTTATTTAGTTTCTTTATCTCAGATCATAACTATAATGGAAAATTGCATCAACCTCTAAACATTTAGTTCAAGGTAAGATTTCATTCAATAATAAAAAGTATTTCAGGACTTCCTAAGMTTTTTCTCCTGCAATTTAATGTATTTGTATTGCTATAAAATATACAATATTAATGTATAAGAGTTTTACTGTAATAAAAATGTATACTACAAAAATGCATTATTATTTGCTCAAAATTTATTTCTGGTAAATTTTCAAAACATTTGTTTTCTTTCATTGCTAGGGGATGTATAATCACTTMTCTAGGTTAACAGATTTTGCTATTTGAACCATTTTCTATTTCAAGTCACTAATGGAAAAAAAGAAATCTTTACTGCGTAAGATCGCATATCTAAGTCAGCTTCTCTTAGTTTTTCACACCAATTTTGTCCAACAAAATGTAATTACTTTGCTGCTGTGCTGTGTGAAAGTGAACTTCCAGGAAAGAGTGTCTGAGATTGTGAAAATTATTGAYATACTTGTTTTCCTTTATTATGTTCATGTGTATTTTGAAGTCTTGTACTTAACAAAGTGTGTATTTTCAACCATGTTAGCATCTCGGTGCTTGCATGGAGGAGTCATAGTGAAGAAAACATTTGTATAGTACATACACAAAGTTGTCTCACTGGTGTTTCAGATGGTGCCTGTTGCTTTTGTTCACCACTCCATTAAAATTTAATGAAAAGGCTGGGGAAGTGGATGAGAATCCCTTATGCCCTGGGAYTTGATCTGTCCTCATAGAACAGGAGATATTTTCTTCTTCCTGAAGGACTTGAAGAAGGAATTTCACTGAGGGGAGTTGTTAATCACTGTGGTTATGGTAACCAAGGGACTCCTCTGTGTTTGCTGTGACAAGGCTTAACTCCTCATCACTTGTGGCACTTTGCAGGAAAAGAAACATGTTCAGTCTAGTATTATAGAGAAGTTGCAGTTTGGGGTAGATCCCCTATTAAACCTGCATTTTCATGGATTCTTTTTCATTTTATCACTCAAATACCTTTGCAGAGTATTACAACCACCCTGTTAGGGAAATTCAGAAGCAATACTGTTGTTTAGATRAATCTAGTTCCTTTTTTGATATTGCAGAATTTATATATAATTTAATATTAAATTTGTTGAACTATGCTGCTCTCTCCTGTAGTTTGGATTTCTTCCCAAACTACATAATTTTCTTTTGCAATTTAACACGGGTAAATTTTGACTTGATGGAAACACTCATGGGGATATGACCCCAAGCCATAAAAAAGCCAGGCTCAATATTAATTTAGTCTAAGCTCTCATTAATGAAAAATTATTATCAGCAAAACCACATTTCTGATAAATCTGAGAGTCTGGTTTGTGCCTGTATTTCAGAATTTTCATGAAGAAGTGAAAGAAACAGATGATTCAGAAAGCTTGACGAGCCTTGACAGTCTTGAGGCTGGGGAACAAAGTGGAAATTGCACAACATCAAGTGAATCATCTTTTACTACACAGTGTGACTGTGCCCTATACGATCCAGAAAAATGCCAGACTAGGAATTATGGTTTACTTTACACAGATCAAAGTACTTCTGAAAATGCACATCTAAATAATTGTCTGAGAAATGTAGACTTGCAACACTACCACAACATACCTATTCATGATCTTTTAGCTAAACATAATGTTCTAACTCCTGCTGAACATGTAAACACCTCAGAAGAAGAATCATCTGCTTCTCACAGACCCGGAAAAAAGCCTGCAGAATTCTCTACCTCTGGTAAGCAAAAGAGCTCTGTAAGTAATGCGTTCAGTTTTCTGCAAAATAGCAGAAGCAAGCCCTCTTTTGGAACAGCTAGCACATTAGCCACTGGTCATCCTGTTTTCAATCTCAGCAGAGCGTGGGACATCCCTGATTCTATGCCAGGAGAAAGAGTTCGGGATCTGATGCAAGATCAGGGTTTTAAAATGACCCCACAGGAGAGAACTAAATCTATGCAAGCATCCAGTCAACCTATTGCAACATCTGTAATCTTATTTCCTAATCAGGGATGTTCCACTGGCATTCCCAGCACAGCCAATACATTAACAAAGGACAAAAACATCAGTGCAGGCTTTTTAAAAAATACCTCAGGAAAAATGACTGAAACAAAAGAAGAAAATATTAAATGTATTARTAATATTATTTCAGAAACATCTTTATTTCAGGACATGCCAAATGTCTCAGTTCTGCTGGAAGTTAAGCAACAGAATAATAAAGAAGAAGGAAAGGGAAATATAATTGAAACTAAGTCACTGTTGTCTGATAGAGAGTTCAATTCTGACATTCCTGCCCTGGACAAAATGCTGAAAAATAATATTCTTGAAAGAAAAAGAGCAAAGTTATTCAGAAGTATCTTAAAGAAGTATTCTAAAAATGAACCCAGTCATTTCAAAACTGTGGTTATGGACCATGGGATCAGTTTTGGAACTCAATTCATATCATCTGTTAGAGACAGTTTAGAACTGGCAAAAATTAAAAAAAAAAGTGCAGAAAATGAAAAATACAATAGGAAGCTAAGATGGTGTGATCAAATTGACCAGATAATAATAGAAAATAATGAAAAATGCATCAGTGAAATATCTTCTTCACACCTGCAATGTGTTCAAACTGCAAACAATGCTCCTGAGAATAATTTAAATATTGTTGCTCAACCTTCAAACCCCATGTTCATAAAAAATSGAGAAAATTCTCATATGTCAAAACCAAATGTTAATACTAAAAAATCAAATAAAGAATACCCATCTCAGAATGTGTCTACTGGATCCTTTTATGCTAAAAAAGCTTGGATGGTATCAAAAGATGAAACAAGTAAACCCCCGGTATGTAGCAGTAATTCTAAAATTAAAGGAGKTAGTCAGCTCAAAAATAAGGCAAAAATAACAAGAAGATCAATATCTGGTAGAGTCCAGTCACATTTTATGCCCAAGAATAGAAGACACACTATTATCCAACTGCAGTCAGCCACTGAAGCCAACAAAGCTCAAAAAGCTCCAGGGAAAATGCTTGCACCTCACCCACCTTCCACACTTCTGCCGGGAAACAGAAGTGTTGAAAACAGAGCCAGCCCTGGGTGTCAGTCACTGCCGCCTCCAAGGCTGCAAGCTACCACTGCTAGCAGGAATGATTTCAATGACAGGCATGTTGTGCCAGCAAATCAGGTTTTAAATAGGAATAGTGCAGAAAACAATGAGAATACTGCTGGTAGTATTGGCTTGGCCACTGTGATCTCTACACCTGACTGCAGCACGGCCAAATATGAACCTTGGGCAAAAAATACTTGTTCTGTAAATAATGTTCAGGCAAACGCCTGTCAAGATCATTCAGTAATGTGCACTGAGAGAAGACCTGTTAACACAGACAATGGATTACATCTCCATCATACCCCAGCAGCTGGAAAAACAAGCACCTTCGGTCACAYAGCACGTTTTGCCCAAGCTCCAAAAGACTCTGCTACTGGTAAGAGTCATATTTCTGGGTCTGGGGTGGGGGGATGCTCAGATAAAAGTCTTTTTGAAGTACATCACAAATTTGCTTTCAGTTAAAACATCTAACCTTTCAGCCATTCACACAACACAGCCAGTTTTAACAAGCTTTCACTATTTGTCATTGTCTTTTCTATTCTAATGGTTCCCAGAGGCCACTCAAACATTGACCCCATTTCTAATAGCTCTCTGCAATATTAAATGAAAAAGAAGTACTTTCCCTGAGATTATATTCATGACTAATAAGCAGATGTGACAGGTGGTCTAAATGATATAGGAGGAAGTGACTAAATTTATACAAGCAAGTTTTACAAGGTAATTGAGAGTCATAGCTTGTTGTCCAACAGTCACTGCCACATGAGAATGAAAGAAGTGTAGTTCTACTGTGTTTGTAAAATGCTGACACTGTAAATTGAGACATAGTCCCAATAACATTATTAAAAGCTGAGCARAAATTAAAGATAAGTTAAAATGAAAGTACTTCTGCCAGACAAACTTTGCTCTGCTGCAAAGTATGTCTGATTTATAAAGAGTTTAAAGAAATGTGAGGAACAATCCTGGATTTTGTGAAAAATTAACCTTGGGAACAATATGAGAGACAGATTGATTGGTAAGATAGAGGAAGGATGCATTAGAAATTTTTGGGAGAATAAACTTTAATCTCCYGGGTTTTACATTTCGACTTACATTTCAAGCTTTTTGATTTGTTGTATTTGTCCTGTGCAGCCTAGCTGTATTCTCTGCCGTGGGCAATAATGACATCCTTGTGCTTGTGATTTCTATGTAGTATGCTGGTTTGCTTCCTCCTGAGGGCTGCAGCTGGATCTCCTGAGGCTGTGGTTCCTAYGTCAGGTACAAGCAGTACTCCAAATTGCTTCACATGCTGGGATCACCCAAGGATTGGCCATGCAACTCAAAGATAAAAATAATAAATACCCATAATTTCAAATGCCCCACATTTCTAGTTTTATCTGCAGTAATACATCATTTTAACTATGGAGTGATTCAGAACAACTCTGTTGTGTAAGAGCAGAGGCTGGCAGGTGAATATTCTTGGCCTAAAGCAGGGGTGGGAAAAGAAAAATGTTATCTGCTTGTCTGTTCCAGTTCAAAGTCAAACAGATGAGTTTAAGATCTGTGTGACTTAACCGATTTGATTTTATGCTGGAAATGAATGAAGACTTGCATTACCAYGCCTCGCCTCCAGCAGAGATTTTTTCCTCTTGATGTCCTTGTCTTCACATCAGATCAATGAATCAAGAAATGGCCTGGGTCCAAGTTGTGCACTACTAACACTGTCTTCACTGCAACTTTATATGCTACATCCSCAGCATCACATACCACCAGCTCATTTAGAGAAGAGTGGAGTAACCGCCTTTTAAAAATTATGTGGGTTGCCCTCCCTCAGTGTCCACTTAGATTTYGTATTTTGAAAGTCTTCTTTATTTYAAATACTATAGATAACTCTCACTGACTTGCTGTTACTTGTTCAATCGCCTGCAAATGCACATAGAAACCACAGTTTTTATCCTGAAGTGCTGTGAGACTGAATAGTTCATTTCTCTTGAGTAAAATAAAATATCTGCAGAGTTCCATGAGGTCTGTGAAAACACTGTAGAAAATATAATCTGTTGCAATGCTTGGCCAAATGTACAGAAGTGAGAACCAGATGAAGAAATGCAATTGTTGTCCATGAAGATCCTAATTTAGTTTGGCTTTCAGGYTTCAAGTTATATATCTTCTGCCTGATCCATATTATACTGTAGCTACTGTATTCTACTGTAGTAGAGTTTTTAAGACCTTTCTTGTTGAGTCAGTAAAAGGCKTTAAAAATATGTTTAACTTTTAGTCTATGACAAATATGAGGCTAATTAACATGCTTATAGTTACACAGCAGTAGACAGCTCAGTATCTCATTCCCATAAATATACTATTGGTTATTAGAATTTTGCCTTATATGTCTCAATGGAATCTTTTTCTTGGCATTGGTCTAGTAGGTCTTGCAAAGTATTTAAATTAAGTACTGAGCATATACATAGAGCAACTTTGAATTCTATTTTTTCAGAAAAACATTATGTGATTACTAATAAAWYAAGKWTWTTCTTTTTYTYTTTYTYTTTYTTTTTCTTTTTCTTTTTCTTTTTCTTTTTCTTTTTCTTTTTCTTTTTCTTTTTCTTTTTCTTTTTCTTTTTCTTTTTCTTTTTCTTTTTCTTTTTCTTTTATTTTCTCTCGTGTTCAATATAACACAATCACGTTTCCTTTTCTCTTCAGGTGCTATTCAGCACCATGGATTGTGTTACAATAATTTGCATATACCTAAATGGCAACCTTTCAAAGCTRATATGTACCATGTTACTATTGATGGCAGCAGCCAGATAACTAGTTTTAAATATGTTTCTAGGATCAGTTATTTATTTTCATTTTCTATGAATGGTAAGAATTTTTCTTAAATGTCACTGTAATAAACACAAAAAAAAATTCTGTTGGAATCAGTAAAGTATCTCATGGTCAAATTATGAACTGTACATTAAACTGAACATGTAAATATTTACTGTGTAAAAAAAATAGGTAATTTGTCTTCCCACATTTAAATCAAGTMACTCCATTTACAAACACAGTAACTRTGTTTACAAAKAAGAACATGGTATCTCCTTGGTAWGTAGAGTCCTCAGTTGTGAAAATACTAATTTGCATTTACAGATTGTATGCATGAAACATACAATCTTCAATTAAGAACATAATTTTAATTTTGAAACTTGATTTTTAAGTTTTGAAAATGTATTGCTACACCAGACAAAACMGAGATAAATTTGAGGTACAGTGTCTTGATTAGACCTCTCTGGCTGAGGAAAAATGCTACACATTTAAAATTAGCACAAAGATGTATGAATTAGTAAGATTAACTACAAAATCCCAAGCTATAGAAATAAGGTTTAAACCCATGACTTTTAAACCTCAGAAAAGCTATGAGGTCACATGTGGAATATTATGTTCAGTTCTGGGCTCCTCAGTAYCAGAGAAACATGGACATGCTGGAGAGAGTCTAGTGAAGAGTCATGAAGATGGTAAAGGGRCTGGARCATCTCTCCTATRAAGAAARGCTGAGACAGCTTGGAGTATTCAGCCTGGAGAAGAGAATGCCATGGGGAATCTTACCAATATCTATAAATACCTGGAAGGAAGCTGCAAAGAGGACAGAGTCA